GAATTTCCCAAGGTATGCAGTGTTTACAATTGGTGATGCCTAATGTGATATTAGGTGGAACACAGACCAACTTTTAAAATATTAATACTTCTGTTTTTATTTTAATGTGCATTGGAGAAAATATGACATCAAACCCATAATATCAGTGATTATTTATTAGGGTGAAGCTGAAGTAAGTATTAGGTTTTTTTAAAAGTTGTAGTCTTAAAGAAAAAGTTAATATTGTAGGCAGATCACAGATATGCTAACAGTCATCAAGATGGTAGGAGACTATCTAAAGTTTGAAAATCAGTGGCCACTTTGCCCCCCTAGTTTCCATTATATTTGTCTACTAATTAACAGATCAGTCTCAGTATTTTCATTTCTTTTTCTTGATAAAACCTTCAGGGGCTCATCGCTCCCTGCCAAATAAAGTCAATCAGACTCTTAGCTTAAAATCAATGTCTTCTAAACCTGGCTCCAGCCTTCCAGTTTTCCTCTACCTCCTGGCTTCCCAAACACTGCTCAAAAAGTACCAGCTGCATAAGATTTAATGAGTGTCCCAGAAAAGTTAGGGAAAGCATTGCATACTATATCCCTTGGAGGTATATTCACAAGGAATTATACGACATTAAAGCCTTTGAGAAAACTTGAGGTAATAAAACTTGTCCATGTTTATGGTAGAACCCTACTTTTCTAGAAACAATGTTTGTGTTTACCAGCTTCCTTGATCATCATTGTGAATAACCCTTTCTTATAGATGGTGCCTTAATGTCTTCTAGGTCTAGTGTACTAGAGAGGTTGGTTTGGAATATGCTCTTCTATATCCATGTCCCCAACCGCCGACACATACCAACCAAACTGAACCACCCATAGCTAGCTATATACCCATTTCACGTTGCGCTTCTAAGCCCTTGTTAATTATTCACTCTACTTGGGGTGCTTTCTCCTCTCTGTCCTTGTCTTCAAAATCTTTTCAACCAAGCAACCTGATTTCTCACAACAGTAATGGTTCCTATTTCTGAAGTCTTACCATGTTCTGCTCTTCCAGCATTTTTTACCACCCAGTATCATGGTAGTTGTGTAACTGATCTTTTTTCCTGCTGGATTTTACATTTCTCGGAGTTACTGTTTTCCACATAGTGCATTGCTTATAGTAGGAATTCAATAAATATTTGATGAATGAATGATAATAAGGTGAAATTTGAAATAATTTATCTGTAGTAAATAATAGAATTGGAGTTTGAAGGATCTACATAGGGAGAGGGACAAATCAAATTTTGGTTTCATTGCTTTTTCTCTATTGTTTTTCTATGTCTATTTCATTGATTTGTGAGGTGAGCTTTATTATTTATTTTATTAATTTTTTTCTTCTGTTTACCTAGAATTTAATTTGCTCTTTTTTTCTAGTTGCTGAAGGTAAAAGCTAAGGTCATGAACTTGAGAGAGGTAATCTACTTTTCTTATATAGGCATTTAATGTCATAAAATTCTCCATAAGGACTGCTTTAGTGGCATTCTCAAATTTTTATGTGTTGTGTTTATATTGATTCAGTTAAAACTACTTTCAAATTTCTTTTTTGATTTCTTCTTTGAACCATGGTTGGGTTTTTTTGTTTTTTTTTTAGAAGTGTGTTGTTTAATTTCCAAATATTTGAGTGTTTTCCAGGTATCTTTCTGTTATTGATTTAAAATTTAATTCCTTTGTAGTCATATATTTTGTATGTCTTAAATCCTTATAAATTTACCAAAACTTGTTTTATGACCCAGAATAGAACCTGTCTTAGTTAATGTCCATGTGCACTTGAAAAGAATGTTATTCTACTCTCCTTGAGTAGAGTGTTCTAGTAAATGTCAAATCAAGTTGGTTGATGATGTAGTTCAAGTCTTATGTATCCTTAACTGATTTTTTGCCTATTTGGTGTATCAACTACTAAGAGCAAGGTATTTAAATCTCAGACTTGTAATTGAGGGTTTATCTATTTCTCCTTGCAATTCCATCAGTTTGGGGTCCCGTATTGCAAAACTGTTATTAAGTGTATAAACACTCAGAATGATTATATCTTCTTGAGTAATTGACTTTTTATAATTATAAAATGACCTTTTTTCTGATAATATTCTTTGCTGTACAATTTACTTTGATATTAATAGAGACAATCCAGCTTTGCTTTTCATTAATTTTAGTATATAATTTTCCATCATTTTACCTTTAATCTAATTGTCTTTCTCTACTTGAAATGAATTTCTTGTAGGCAACATACAGTTGGGTTTTGCATTTTTATCCAATCTGGCAATGTCTATCTCTTAAGTGGGGTGTTTAGACCATTTACATTTAATGTGATTGCTGATATAGTTAGATTTAAGTCTGTCATCTTGCTATTTATTTTCTATTCGTCCCATATGTTCTTTGTTCCCTTTCCCCACTTTTTTCGAGTTTCTACTGGATTGTTTTTATGAGTCCTTTTATCTCCTTTGTTGGCTTATTACCTATAATTCTTTATTTGGTTATTTTAATGCTTACTTAGGGTTTATACTATACATCTTTGACTAAGTCTACCTTCAATTAATATTATACCACTCCACATACAGTGTAGGAACTTCACAATTCCATTCCTTCCTTCCTAGCCTTTATGCTACTGTTCTACATTTCACTTATACATGTTATAAGCCCCACAGTAAATTTTTTTGTTAAAAAAAGTTGATTATCTTTTAAAGAGATTTAAGTAATATGAAAAGTCTTATATATTTGCCCATGTAAGTATCATTCCCATTGTCTTCATTCCTTTGTGTAGATCTAGATTTCCATTTGCTATCATGTTCCTTCCTTCTGAAAGACTTCCTTTAATAATTTGTGGAGAACATTAGAGTGCAAATCTGCTGATGATTAATTCTTTCAGTTTTTGGTTTTGAAAGATAATTTCACTGGTGCAGAATTTTAGCTTGACAGTTTTTTCTTTCCATACTTTAAGTATGTTTTACTCCCTTTTCATGTGCTTTTTTCCTCCAAGAAATCTGCTGTCATCTGTATCTTTATTTTTTCATACTAATATGTTTTTCCCCCTACATTTTAGATTTTCTCTTTACCTTGGTTTTCAGCAGTTTGTTTATGATGTGTCTTGGTGTAGTTTTTTCTGTTTCTTGTGTTTAGTGTTCATTGAACTTCTTGGGTCTCTAGCTCTTTACTTTTCCTCAAATTGGGAAAATTTTGGGCTATTATTTCTTCAAATATTTTTTCTGTCCCTGCTACAATCTGCTTTCCTATAGAGACTCAAATTACATATATATTAGGCAATTTGAAGTTGTTTCACAGCTCGTGATCTTGTTTATTTTTTATTTTTTTAAGATTTTATTTGTTTATTTGACAGAGAGAGACACAAGGAGAGAGGGAATACAAGCAGGGGGAGTGGAAGAGGGAGAAGCAGGCCTCCCACTGAGCGGGGAGCCTGATGCGGGCCTCGATCCCAGAACCCTGGGATCATGACCTGAGCCGAAGGCAGACGCTTAACAACTGAGCCACCCAGGCGCCCCTCGTGATCTTTTTTAGATAGTTTCTGTTGCTATGTCTACAAGTTCAGTCATCTTTTCATCTGTAATATCTAATCTGTCATTAATCCTATCTAGTGTATTTTTCATCTCACATATACTTTTCATATCTAGAAGTTCAATTTGGGCCTTTTTTGTATCTTCTATGTCTCTACTTAACTGTTGAAGCATATGGAATGCAATTATAATAACAATTTTAATACTCTTTTCTCCTAATTTAATATCTGTGTCAATTCTGGGTTTTAGTCCATTGATTATCATTCTCATTATGGCCCATGTTTTCCTGTCCCTTTGCATGCCTTGTAATCTTTGATTGGATGTCAGACTTTGTGAATTTTACCTTGTTGCATGCTAGCTATTTTTGTATTCCTATACATCCTTGAGTTTTGTCTTATGGGGCAGTTAAGTTACTTAGAAATGGGCTGATCCTTTTAGGTCTTATTTTTATGCTTTGTTAGGTGAGTCTAAGCAGTGCTCAGTCTAGGGGTAATAATTTCACACTACTGAAACAAAACCCTTCTGAGTGCTTTACCCAATGCATTATGAATTATGAGTTTTCCAGTCAGTTTGGTGGGGACAGGCATTGCCAGCCCTGAGTAATGCCAGACACTGCTCTGTCAATATTATTAAAGGATTCTTTCCCCAGACTCAAATATTTTTCTTATACACATGCTGATCAGTATTTTCTCCCCATATTGTGAGGATCCCTCTGCTAATCTCCAGGATCCTCTCTCTGTACATCTCTATCCTCTCCAGTAAGCTATCCTATGAACTCTAGCTTCCTTGTTCTCCCCAGATCCTCAGCTCTAGTTCTTCAGCTCAGAGAGTCTACCTGGTTACTTCTGTGTTTCCAATCCTTGCATGTCCTAGAAACTTTCTCAAAGTGATAAGCTGGGGTAAGCATGGGTCTCACTTTGTTTCTTTTTTCCATTGATCATATCTGATATCCTGTCTCTTGAAAACCATTGTTCCATAATATTTTTGTTTGTGTGGAGTTTTTTGTTGCTGTTTTTTGTTTTTGTGTGTTTGTTGGTTGGTTGGCTATTTCAGGCAAGAGAATAAATCTGGTCCCTATTACCCCATCTTGACAAGAAGTGAAAGTTTAATAAGTCATTTTTTCACTGCTTCAAGGTTAGTTGGGGTTCAGGTGATCTAATCTGGGTTCTTTGAGAGTTGTTTGGGCTTGCCTGATTTCTCCTGTATATACATATATAAAATACATATATAAATATGTATATTTTAATGAACAAGGAATGTTTGGTTTAGTTAAAAGTGGAAATCAGCCTGAAAGTTTTACAAAGAAGTTAATACTAGTTATCAGGATCTTTTTGGATGGAGTGCTACTAATTTCAAAGAACTCATGGGTAGAGTGTTGAAATTTTCCTAGATCTAGCATCAGTCTCTAGGAAAAATGCGTATTTGTATAAGTAAGTACAGAAATTATCATTTAACACCTTTATTTTCTTATTTAAAAATTAGAGGACAATGTATATAAAAATATGCAAGAATCAAAGGAAACCCCCATATCCAGTCACCTAGATGAAATTGTTGCTGCTATCAGCATAACGCCTAGAAAGAAGATCCAAAACAAGCTGCCTCAGACAGCGCTATTCCAGCCTCCTCGAGAGAAACTCCACCTCTGTGAAGAGAAAGCGAAGTCCTACTCTAGCAGTCACGAAGTAAGGACCCTTCATTTTCTATACCTGCACTCTGATAATTGACGAGAGTTTAGGTTACATTTCTACCCTCAGGAGTTTGGTACAAGAGAGTATATGGAGTACCTTTCTCACAGAATGAGTGGGTGTAGCCCCTCAGGGCTCCAGGCACAGCACTTGGCACAGTCAACATCATTCTTGCAGAATGAATGCACAAATGAACAAACAGGTTTACCCTGACCTCTGGCAAGCATATACTAGACCAGTTGGTTATAGGTTTGACCTACTGCAGTCTTTTTCCATCAGTGTATACACATTTATTGTGCTCTCCCTAGTGCTGGGTCTAAGCACTGGAATCTAACACAAAGCCGATGAAACTTCTGTAGAGCTTACAATTCTTACGTTCTTGATCTTCTTGTTTTCTTCATACACCTTTCTCATTCTCTCCTCAAAATTTTACTTATTCACTCACTCATTCAATATGCATTTCTCTACCACCACTTACATGTCAGGTCCTCTATTGGTTGAGCGTGCACCTCTTGATTTTGGCTCCGGGTCCTGGGATGGAGGGCTCCTTTCTCAGTGAGGAGTCGGCTGGAGATTCTCTCTCTCCTGCTGCCCTTCCCCCTCTGTCTCTCTCTCTCTCTCAAATAAGTAAATGAATCTTTATTTATTTTTTTAAAGATTTTATTTATTTATTTGACAGAGAGAGACACAGTGAGAGAGGGAACACAAGCAGGCGGAGTGGGAGAGGGAGAAGCAGGCTTCCCGCTGAGCAGGGAGTCCGATGCGGGGCTCGATCCCAGGATCCTGGGATCATGACCCGAGCTAAAGGCAGACGCTTAACGACTGAGCCACCCAGGCACCCCAGTAAATAAATCTTTAAAAAATAATAATCCCAGCAAGGAATTGTAAGAGCCTGAACTACAACAGAGGCAGTAGAGATGCCAAGATCTGACAGGAATTTGGAAACGTGAATCAGTGGGGCCTGGTGATTAAGGGGACATAGGAGTTGTAGAAGCAAGAGCCAATCACAGAGGGTGTATACAATTCATGACTTATATCTCAGTCAGCTTGGGTGGTGGGAAGCTTGCCAGTGCCTTTGCCATTGTAATGAATACAGGAGGAAGAGCAGGATTATGGAGAGGAGACATGAATTTGGTTTTGAACATGTGCTTATTCATTATGCAGCACATATTTATTCAGTACCCACTACGTGCCAAGCTCTGTACTAGGTAGGCAGTAGGCTGGCAGCCTTTCTCAACCAGAGTTCTGCAGGAGAATTAAGCCTGAATGCCCCAAATCATTTACTGTCCATAAAGAAGTAACATCTCTTCTGTGGATCTGGAGTGGTACTAAATTATTTTCTGTGTTCTGGAGTTCAGGTGAGGAACCCCTGGATACAGTGGTGAACAGCATGGACAGGTTGAATGCCCTCATGTTGCTGAGGGGCAATCAGCATTGTAAATACACTAGTGAGCTAGAGGTTGTGTCAAGTGCTGTTAAGGAAAGAGTGGGCTGGTCTATGAAGAGGCGAGCTGAGACCTTAAGAAGTGAAGGAGCCAGTGTGGAGGAGCTAAGCGAAAAGAGTTCCAGGGTGAGGGGACAGCACATGTAAAGTCTATGAGGTGGGAACGAGTTGAGGTGTTTGGAGTAAAAGAAGAGACCATGGTCTGATGTGAAATGCAGTTGGAGAGGCAGGGAGTTCACTTAGGACCTCATAGGTCTCCAGCTGAGTGTCCTGGGAGGCCTTAAAAGTGTTTGCAGGAAAGTATTAACATGATGTAATTGGCTTTTTAAAATTTCCATTTTTTTTCTAGTTTTGAATTTTAAAATATTTTCAGACTTACAGGAAAGTCTATAAGATTCACCAATTTTTAACGTTTGCATTATGGCTTTGTCTCTGTGTGTGTCATTATTTTTCTGAACTGAGAGTAAATTATAGGTATTACGGTCCTTTACCCCCTGAATATCTTGGAGGATACTCTCCAGGTAACCACGGTACAGTGATTAAAGTTAGGAAACTAACATTGGTACAGTATTATCATCTAATCTATAAACCTTATCCATATTTCTCAAATTATCACAATCATGTCTTTGGCAGAAAAAAAATTAGATCCATGCTCTGCTCCATCAGATTATATTATTTCCAAGGCTCATCCCAGTTATGAAATTGTCTGCCTACTTGTACTTCTCTCCTCTCTACCTCCTCCCCATGCCTGTTGGATGAAGCCACCGGAACTGGCAGAATAAAGATCAGAAAGCCAAAGGGACGTTTGAACTTTGTGTTCTAGCAAGTGAGAAGGTGGAGGGGAGGACAGGCTGCTCTTCTCTACCCCTGTCCCAGTTGCAGGTAGTGAGGACCAAGGCTATGATTGGGGGGCAGGGGGGTGGGGGGGACTGACTTCCGGTCTACAGAGCCCCCTTCTTAGAAATCTGTGGTTGGATAGACCCATTATCAGATCAGGTCCTCTCTCTTTTTGGTAGACTATCTCTCTAGACTCCCCAGTGTTTTCATCATCTCTCTTTTTCATACACTATTCATTTGCTGTCTCCCCATGGAAGCTATTCCCTTAACTCCCAGCATTAGCTGGGCTCCGTCTGCCAAGAGGGAATCCGCTGCCAAGATTTTTGACTGATTGGTGTTAGCTGCTGATGCCTTCCTACCTGGGCCTCTCCGTGGGACCACTTAGGCTTCCTCATGGCATGGTGGTAAGGTTATTAGTTTGCTGGGGCTGCCATACCCAAATACCTCAGACTGGGTGGCTTCAACAACAGAAGTTTATTTCCTCAGAGTTCCACAGGCTGCAAGTCCGAAGATCAAAGTGTCGGCAAGGTTGACGTCATTTGGAGGGCTAGCTTGCAGAGGGCGTCCTCCCACTGTCCCCACTTCTTCCTTTGTGCGTGCCTCTCCCTGCTGTCTCTTCCTTGTCTTATAAGGACATGAGTCACATGGGAGTAAGGCTCTACCGTAACGACCTCATTTCAACTGACGTCTTTAAACATCAACTTTATGCCTTCTCTCCATATACTGTCACATTCTGAAGTACTTGGGCCTCCAACATTTGGGTTTGGGGAATGGGAGCACACAATTCAGCCCATAAAATGTTCTAAATAGAAACAGAAACTGGAAGCCTGTAGTTCCTTAAAGTGTGGGCCCCTAAACCTGGCACCACATCATTTCCTCCATATTCCATCAGCCGGTCATAAAGCCCAGATTCAAAGGGAAGGAGACCTAGACCCCCACCGCTGGACGGAAAGAGTCAGGGAATTCTGGAGTGACATTTTAAAACTACCAGGCTCGCTTTGAATGTATTGTTACTCTGAGCTGACCTGGAGCTGGAGGGGCCAGCTCCCTGTTCTCTTTGTTCTGACACGGAATATAAATGGACTTCTCACTCCCTTAGCGAAATTTGTTTGTCAGTCCTGCCAACCTCATTGCCGTGCTGATATCCTAGGCTGCTAAGAAGGGTATTTGAATTGAGAACTAGCGAGTGTTATTTCAAAACCCACTACCAACTTGCCCACTGGTGCCTGAATGGTGTTCATAGCTGGGCAGCTGGAAACCCTGGGGAATGGTGACAAGTCTGCTCTAGTTTTTCTATGTCTTCTTGATTTATTATATTTTTCATAATGTACTACAAGCTTAAATGTTTTAGAAATTGAAATGTACTATAAATTTTACTTGTTTCTTGTTTTATTTGTTTCTGCTATTTATTGTCTGTTTCACCCCACCCAAAACAGATCTTTGCCTGTTTTGTTCTGTGATGGATCCCAAGTGCTTACAACCACGTCCTGCACATAGTAGGCACTCAGGAAATACACACTGGATTAAAGTGCAAGTTGACTTTGTGCTTTGTCACTCTCCGTTTTCAGTTGTCGCTGACTAGTAAAGCCCATTTTCTGTCCGTCGCAGTATAAACAGGCTGTCCATGAGCTGGTGCGCTGCATAGCGCTGACAAGAATTTGCTATGGCGACTCCCATTGGAAACTAGCGGAGGCACACATTAATCTGGCTCAGGGCTACCTCCAGCTGAAAGGTGAGTTCCTCTCAGACGGGGGGTGGGGGAGGTTAGTCCATGGGTTTCTGCTCTTTCATGGAAATTTGACTCCCACTTACCTAGAAGGATTCATTAGGTTTTCTTGAATATTCTCCTGTCCACACATTGAAGAGCCATCTCCTTTCAGAAAGAGTCAATGAGATTTTTTCTATGATATCTAAAACAGAGAAGGAAGATTTTAGCCCTTTGGATGGCTTTTGAGGACCCTTTTTGAAAATTTAAATTCAATTAATTAACATATAATGTATTATTGGTTTCAGAGGTGGAGGCCTGTGATACATCAGTCTTATATAACACCTGGTGCTTATTGCATCACATGCCCTCCTTAATGTCCATCACCCAGTTACCCCATCCCCCTCCTCCCCTCCAGCAACCCTCAGTTTGTTTCCTATGATTAAGAGTCTCTTATGGTTTGTCTCCCTCGCTGGTTTTGTCTTTTTTTTTGTCGGACCCTTTTTTTATGATCTTAAATGTAAAGTTCTTGGAAGAGAATTTGTTAGCTTGGAAGGCATTGTAGGAGGGGCCCAATGCATGGAGTAGGGGCCTAAAATAGGATCCATCCACATTTGTTTTGATGGAGAATCACTTTCCTGTAAGTGACCCCTCCCCTCCCCCCCAAATACATAAATAAGAGACTAAATCAAGCTGGCAGTGAACAAAAGGTAATGTATTGGCTTATACAACTTGAAAAGCCAAGGGTAAAACTTGCTGTAGACTTAGCCAGATCCGGGCGTTCAAACAATGTCATCGTTCCGTGTTTCTCTCTTATCCCACCGCTTGGCTCTGTTTTTCTCTGTATGGACTTCATTTTTTTTTTTTTTAAGATTTTATTTATTGATTTGACAGAGAGATAGAGAGAGAGCACAAGTAGGCAGAGAGGCAGGCAGAGGGAGATGGAGAAGCAGGCTCCCCGCCGAGCAGGAAGCCCGCTATCGGGCTCGATCCCAGGACCCCGGGATCATGACCCAAGCTGAAGGCAGCCAACTTAACCAACTGAGCCACCCAGGTGCCCTTGTATGGACTTCATTTTTACCCAGGCTCTGCCCACGTGGCAGCAGCAAGTCTTGCAGAAGCTGTAACCTTCCCTCATCAGCATTCCCAGGAAAGAAAGAACATCTTTCCCCCCAAACCTCAGGATTTGGGGGTTCTAATTGGGCTGACTTGGATGGTATGTCAAAGGCAAGGAATAGTCTGATTGGCTAGATCTGCCTTTTGGCTCCACTGGATCCTGGGGGACAAGCTGGCCTTGGTAAATCGAATGGATTGGGTGTGCAGGGGCCAGGTGTCCCCAGAAGAAAACAGAGAAAGGGGGATAGACGCAGGGAAGGATAGCATGTCTCCTTTTGACTAGGCATCCTAGGATGGCTGTATAAGAGTACATCTCTGTACTCCTTTCTTCAGCTGAAAAGCAATGATAATGATGATGGTGGTACTTAACTTCCCAGCATGGATCCAGTGAATACATAAAATAACAAGAAGTAGAAAACACCACAATGCTCAGCACAGAATTGCCACCCAATAAATTTGGCTAAATCTGATTATCGGCTGGTCCTACCTATTAGATCAAAGACTGTTGGAGCCAGAGGGGACCCTGGAGATCATCTAGTTCAAACCCTAACCCCCTCCTATATTTTTAGATTCAGAGGGAACGAGTGAGCTGAAACAGCTTGCCCCAATTTACATTGTTAGTAAGTAGATGATCCGAGGCTTAGACCTTAGATTTTGCACGCCAGCGCCAGTGGCCTGGCATCTGGGATTTCAAATGATGCTTTTCTTCCACAGCCTGCTACCTTTTTGCATGATAGTCTTTCTTTCTCAATTTAAAGTGAAAGCAGCATCTACTCTTCCTTAAGGTCTTTTTTTTTTTTTAGATTTTATTTATTTATTTATTTGACAGAGAGAGAGAGACAGCGAGAGAGGGAACACAGGGGGAGAGGGAGAAGCAGGCTTCCCACCGAGCAGGGAGCCCAGTGCGGGGCTCAATCCCAGGACCCTGGGATCATGACCTGAGCCGAAGGCAGACGCTTAACAACTGAGCCACCCAGGTGCCCCTTCCTTAAGGTCTTATTGAATGCCAGGCATCATGCTAACTATCTCCCATGCATGTTCTCATTCATTCTTCATCACAGTCCTATAAGGGGGGTAATATTATCATCACTGTTTACAGTTGAGGAAGCTGAAGCCAATGTTTTCGGAGTAAGTGGTAGTTCAGGGAACTCATTCTGGGCAGTTTGAGGTCAGAGCTGGTGCTTTTAAACCTCAACCCACACTGCCTCCTGTTGCCTGAGTTCCTTGAGGGAATGTACCAAAGTTGGTAATACAGCGTGCCTTTATCTTTTGTAATATTGCATGTGTAATTGGCACTAATAAATTTCTTGTAGGTTGATTAAATGTGTGCTTTAAAAAAATTAGACAAAATTCTCTGAAATAATGAGCACTGGGTGTTGTATGCAACTGATGAATCACTAAATTCTACCTCTGCAACTAATAATACAATATATGTTAATTAAATTGAATTTAAATTAAACATTCAAACAAACAAAAATTAGACAAAGTTCTCTAAGAGTTCCCACATGGAGAACATACCCTGGATTTTTTCCATGTGAAGATGTATTCTTATGTTTTATAGACACAGGAACAGAATTAATTTCAGATTTTTGGCAGCTTTTTTAGAGATTTGAGATACAATTTCATATAATGGAAAAACATAAAACCAGGGGTGTATGGATGTGGGTGGGAGAGGATGTCGGTGTGGGAGAGGAGGATGGGAGTATAGGGAAGTGAAAAGCCCTGAAACCTAACCGGTGACCCCCCGTGTCACCCTTACCACAAACTAATAAGCCCATGGGAGAACTCTGGAGCACACTGGGGAATTAGAGCTTGGTAGTGATTATTTTTCTCATTGTTGTCCCATTTTGTTTCATGTTAGTCGATAACCTTGTAGGAACAAGAGATTGTAGCATATTAGCCCATTCTGTCATTGAAATTATATTTGTAAATTTTTGTAGATTATCACCGTATTTGTATTCTGTTAAAATAACTCTCTGAAGTTGTGATTATAGATAGACAAGCAGAAGATTCAGAATTTTTAGTATTTCATTAAGATCGCTGTCACAAAGCCAGAATTGAATATCTTATTTCCTGCCCAGAATGCTATAGTCCTTGCTTTTTATAATTATTTAGAACATATTTTATATCTGATATTGGTGAGGTTTCAAAGTTGTTCAGTTCCTGCTCGTTCTGTTTACTTCTAGAAAGGCCGTTTGGGGAAAAATTTATCTTGAGTACTAGGTGTAAACCACTCCTTTGGTTTTTACAGTCGGGACAATATTTCATGTCACCCTGATCCATCTCTATGTGTCACTTGTCAATATGTGAAGGAGACTTCGTTCAGTTTCCCAGCCAGAGGTAATTATAGTGAAAGAGAAACTGAGACCGCTTTTTCTTTGTCCACAGGACTGTCACTGCAAGCAAAGCAACATGCAGAAAAAGCCAAAGAAATCCTTACCAGCTCCATTGTGCCTCCCTATGACGACAATACGGATGTTTTCAGGTGTTCGATCGAGCTGTTCCATACCATGGGGAGAGCCTTACTCTCCCTTCAAAAGTATCCTTCTGTTTCCAATATTTCCACCTAGAAAAGACCCCCATAATGCTTATATTTAATTTTCTTTTTTTTTTTAAGATTTTATTTATTTCTTTGAGATAGAACAAGAGAGAGAGAGCATGAGCAGGGGGCAGAGGCCAAGGGGGAAGCCGACTCCCCGCGGAGCAGGGAGCCCGACCCTGAGATCACGACCTGAGCCGGAGGCAGACGCTTTTAACCAACTGAGCCACCCAGAGGCCCCTCATTTTCAAGGCCAAATCAAAAAGTGACAAATGGCTCAGGAAGGGTGATGGGAAGTTTCAGAGCCAAGGATGTCCAGGAACTGGGGGCCCAGAATCTAGAGCCATGTGTGAAGTTTCCTGAACCCAGCCCAGATTTAAGGAAGCTTCAGAGAATTTGTCCAAGGCAGAGCGACTTGCAAAAGAGCTGCTGCAGTGTGGAAGGATTATAAAGGAGGAATGGATAGAAATTCAAGCACGGATCAAATTGTCATCTGCACAGTAAGTTTCCAGTTTAGGACGTTTTGGATACCTCATGGCCGGAGGTTCTCTGCCAGAACAGTCTGTCTTCAAGCAGAAGGAGCTTCTCCACGATGCTGTGTCTGTGGCTTCTCCATGGCTATTGTCCAGAAGCAAAAGAGGACCATGGTCATGTCACAGCAGCCACAACCAAGGCACATATATCAGTGACATTTTTTTTAAAGATTTTATTTATTTATTAGAGAGAGAGCGCGTGCACACGCACACGAGAGAGGGGGGGAGAGAGAGAGAGCAGGAGGAGAGGGAGAAGCAGGCTCATCCCAGGACCTGAGCCGAAGGCAGATGCTTAACCGACTGAGCCACCCAGGCGTCCCCATCAGTGACACTGTTCACTAAATAATGTGGTGCTGACACATCCACCCCTGGGTCCTAGAGTTCTGATGTCATTCTCTTGACTTTCTATTTCTTGTCTGCTCTCCTGGACCCCCTCCTCTGTGTTTAAATCACCATGTATTTCATACCATAGAGAGGAAGAAGATATTTATTACATGCATAACTGGCAGAGAGCTCATATCTAGAATCTGTAAAGAACTCCTATATATCAATAAAACAAAGACAAACAATAGAAAAGTGGGCAAGAGACCACAAAAAAAAAAAAGGATGCCCACATAGCTAATAAGCATTTTAAATATTCCACCTCATCAGTCTTCAGGGAAGTGAAAATTAAAGTCATGAGCTACTACTACAGCTCCACTAGAATGGCTAAAGTTTTTTTTTTACCTTTTTTTTATTATGTTAAATAAGCCAACATATAGCACATCATTAGTTTTTGAATCGTGTTCAACGACTCATTAGTTGCATATAACACCCAGTGCTCATCACCACACATGCCCTCCTTAATACTTATCACCAGGTTACCCCATTCCCCGACCCCCTCAGCTCTGAAACCCTCAGTTTGTTTCCTGGAGTCCAGAGTCTCTCATGGTTTGTCTTCCTCTCTAATTTCTTCCCATTCAGTTTTCCCTCCCTTCCCCTATGGTCCTCCGCACTCACTATTCCTTATGTTCCACATATGAGTGAAACGATGTCATAATTGTCTTTCTCTGCTTTACTTATTTCACTTAGCATAATCCCCTCCAGCTCCATTCATGTCAATGCAAATGGCAGGTATTCATCCTTTCTGATGGCTGATTAATATTCCATTGTATATGTGGACCACATCTTCTTTATCCATTAATCTGTTGAAGGGCATCTCGGCTCCTTCCACAGTTTGGCTATTGTGGACATTGCTGCTATGAACATTGAGGTGCAGGTGCCCCTTCTTTTCACTACATCTGTGTCCTTGGGGTAAATACCTAGAAGTGCAATTGCTGGGTCGTAAGGTTGGCTAAAGTTTTTTAAAAGACTGATAATAATATCAAGTGTTGGTAAAGATGTCAGGCTCTTAGAGGCTTTCTCATATGTTGTTGTTGTGAATATATTTGGTATAACTACTTTAGAAAACTGGCTTTATCTTCAAAACTGAAATGTTCATCTACTCTATGACAGCAGTATCACTCATAAATAGAACAGAAATGCACATGTATGTTCACCAAAAGACAGCCAAGAATGTCCAAAGCTACATTATTTGTAAAAGCCAAGAATCAGAAACAACCCAACTGTTCACCAAAGCAGAATAGATAAAATTGTGATCTGTTCGTACAAAGGAAATAATCAGACTGCCCCTTTGCTTCACATCAGGGATGACTCTCACAAACATAATGGGTCGTGCAAGAAGCCAGACCCAAAGAGAGGAATCACTGGGAGGACCTGTCAGTCCAGAATTTCTTCCCGCCCAGAAGTAGGTATTCTATCTTGTATTGGAAGAGAGGAAAGAAGCAACTCGGAGGTCCCAGAGCTGATACTTGTTGCATCTGTTGAAACCTAACCAGTGTTATGAGAATTTAATGTCCAGCGGTATTACTACAAAAAGAGGGTAAACTATCCTTGGCCAGAATCGGGCATCTCCTCTAAGATTTCTTTCCAAATAGCAGTACTAAATCTTGCCAGCAGATGGCGCCTCGTACACATCTACCCACCAAGAATGGTGGCTCAGTCGTTAAGTGTATGCCTTCGGCTCAGGTCCTGACCCAGGGTCCTAGGATAGAGCCCCACATCGGGCTCACTGCTCCGCGGGAAGCCTACTTCTCCCTCTCCCACTCCCCCTGCTTGTGTTCCTTCTCTCTCGCCGTCTCTCTGTCAAATAAATAAATAAAATCTTTAAAAAAAAAAAGAATGTAAGTCAATGTTTCCAGCTGTTGTACAAAGTTACTTTGTGTCTAGCTGAGTTGTTTTAAACTTAACTTCTTTCAGTCCTGGTTCTTCGCAGTGACATAGTCACTGGAACTTGCGTGTTTCAACAGCATGGTTTTCATTTGATCACTCTGCCTCGTTTCCTCATTGAGTTATGAATATTTTGCCTACACAGAGCCGCTTTAGAAATGTATGAGGCTTTGCTTTTGTGCATTTCAGCTTATATTCACAACCCCAAGGTCCTTTTCTTTTACCAGGTCTTGGTCGTAGAAGACCAGGATAATGTCTCAGGCAGCTCTCACGGGGTTTGTGTTCCTCTTAAAAGGAAGAAAACATCTTTCATGCATCCTCCCCCTCCTTCTGCCTCGCCTTTTATGGTGCCCATCAGGCCAGGCTGGTTCTTTTCTCCTTGGGCTGATAGATGAATGCTGCCGGTGACTCATGGTCCGTGCCTTCTATCCCTAACTGTGGGCTGAAGCTTTGTCCCTTTTACCTGCCCTCCTCCATTCTAGCACTACTTCCTATTCACTAATCATTCATTAACTTTGGAGACTAAGTCCAAAACGTGTTCCTAAAAAACCCCCTTGTTTTTCTAAATGTGATCAAGAAACTCGCTGGTGAATATGGGCACATCGTTCTCCTGTGTTAAGAATTATTTTCTGCCCCAGTTACTGCTGCTCCAGAACGTGTGACCTGTCTAGGTTTTCCCTAGGACTGTGTGACAGGTCATCTTTGGAGTCCTCCACAGCTTGCTTGGTGAGCACTTGGCCTGGTGTTGCTGTGCTGACTAGCTCTCAGTGCACTTGGGGTAACTAGAGCATCAACAGGACATCTCCTGTATCTCAAAGGAATGGGACGTGGTGTAGTCAACAGTGTCGGCTTTACAATCAGGTAGCCCCGAGTTCAAATCAGCATCCATTCCACCCTCCCAGCTGTAGGACTATGGGCAAGTCCCCCACTCTCCTCTCCTGTTAAGGGAGGAATGATCAGACCTCCAAGGTTTGCTGTGATGACGAAATAGACCGCACATTAAAGCATCTGGGTACATGGTAGACCTTTTTTTTTTTTTTTTTAGACTTTGTCTATTTATTTTTAAGAGAGAGTGCGCATGCGTATACAAGTAGTGGGGGGGGGTTGGAAGGGGGCAGGAGGAGGGCTAGAGGGAGAGAAAGAGAAAGAATCTTAAGCAGGCTCCATGCCCAGCATGGAGCCGAGGCAGGGCTGGATCTCATGACCCTGAGATCATGACCTAACCTGAAATCAAGAGTCAGCTGCCCAACCAACTGAGCCACCCAGGTGCCCCAAGATTTTATTTTTTTAAGTAATCTCTGCACCCAGTGTGGGGCTCAAACTCATGACCCTGAGATCAAGAGTGGCATGCCCTACAGACTGAGCCAGCCAGGAGCCCTGGTAGACCCTTTTTAAAAAGTAGTTATTATAGTTACTATCCAGTGGGACATTTCTCTTTGTGCAGTTTCATCTCGGAAACAATTTGGTTTTAAAGCATGTGCTTATATCGCAGACTAAGATTCTATACTTCAAGACTGCCCCTGGAATGCAATATTCTTTCCTGTTCTTATCCTGTGACTTGGGAAAGGCTAAGCACTCTTTGTCTTTACTTTTGTGAACCACCTACATTAAAATTAAGATAGTCTTATGTTTGTTTTTTTTTTAGCTTGACTTTGTTTCTTTGTCTTGCTTCTTCTTGATCCATTATAGTCATGAGATTTGGAAAGTGATTCTAACATAAGCTTTCCCAAGAGGAAAGGAGATGAGGAAGTTTCCTCCCTTGGCCAGGACTTCCTGGGAAGGGGTAGAGGTAATGGAATAAACAACGGTATGTGGGACCTCATGTGTATCTACCTGCTACCACGTCATTGGGATGCTGAAATTCGACTTAGTTCCATGGGCTTCCCCATAAAGCATCCCCAGTGGCTTTTATTGAGAATTTTTGATACTTCAGTAATCATCTTTACTCTCTTGCTTTTAGGTCCTACGGTGTTCAGTAATCTCTAAATCTTACTTTCAGGACTCAACCGTTTTGTTTTGTTTTTAAGTTTATACCATCATGTGGAGGTCCTTGGTGTTAAGCTTATACCTCTGTCGATGTGTGTCTTTAAAGAATCACCTTCTCGGGGCACCTGAGTGGCTCAGTTGTTAAGCACCTGCCTTTGGCTCAGGTCATGATCCCAGGGTCCTGGGATCAAGCTTCGCATTGAGCACCCTGCTCAGCAGGAAGCCTGCTTCTCCCTCTCCCACTCCCCCTGCTTGTGTTCTCTCTCTAGTTGTCTCTCTCTGTGTCAAATAAATAAATAAAATCTTACCAAAAAAAAATCACCTTCTCTACATCTCTTTTTTGAGTATAAAGGCTCTGACAAATGCTCATGTGTCCAAAGCCCTGCTTCTCTCCTCCTCCGGGAAATGCCCTGTTCTTCTCCCAAGATGTTTCTCCTGTCAGCAACTCCCAATGGACACTATTTGCCTGGCATGCCTTATGCTTGTTTCACAAAGAAGGAAATGATTGATTTTTTTCTGGTGCTCTTCTTTGTCCTGTATTCCTTTGATTAAAGAAATGTGCTACCCTTACACAAAATCTGATTTTTGAAAAATCAGGGTTTTTTTTAATGTGGAGAAGCACAAAACCCTACATGGCACAGATTACCTTCATATATTTTATCTGCTTTCTATTTCTTCAGTCCCTTAAAGTCTTAAATTTCAGAGCACTATATTTTTCTCTTTCCCTTTCTAACACTACCTCCTTATAATACATATTTCCTTACACAACTACAAGTGATAACGATGATTTTAGGCAATGACACCAGCTACTAACTCTTGACCACCTTCTGT